ATCACGCAATTCAGAGTTTATATCACGCAATTCTGAGTTTATATCGCGCAATTCAGAGTTTATATCGCGCAATTCAGAGTTTATATCTCGCAATTCCGGGTTTATATAGCGCAATTCTGTTTTTAAATTTCTACCATGAAATAAAAAATTATTGCAACTTTTTATCTCACAATTCTGACACTTTTTTCTTCTTCTCAGAATTATATTATTATATAATAGTTTTAAATTGCCATAATTTGATTGCCGAGACTTTAATTCTTATCAAAGTTAGAAAGCACAAAGCTTATAGCGATTATTGGATGGCAGGTGCTACAAATAATGTTTAGTGAAGCTTTGTTACTTATCTGACCATCATCAGTTTGTAGCAGTGAATGACGAGGTATCATATCGATCACAAGTACAGTATGGAGTACCACAAGGCTCAGTACTAGGACCGTTGCTTTTCACACTTTACATGTTACCCAGTCTTGGGAGATATCATCAAGAAACATGGTGTTAGCTTTCACTGTTATGCTAATGATACTCAGCTCTATATTTCTTTGTGGCCTGATGGAAACATATCAATTTGCAAAACTAACGGAATGCATAGTTGATAAACATAGTTGCAAAAGATACTGGAAGAGAGCTGAACTGGATGACGACATCACTGAATCATCAATGAACCGACTTTAGCTGAAATATGACTCTGTTATTGTCTTGCATTATTGCAAGAATTATATCTATTTTCCTGTTAGACTCTGTAAAGCTGCTTTGACACAACCAGTATTGTATAAAGCGCTATACAAATAAAGGTGACTTGACTTTGTTCGCATATGCACTAAATATATAGACTAAAACAATATTCGGTGTTGGTTCATCAAAATGAAGATAGATTTAAAATGGTGTTTATAAAACACATAGTTTTTAATTTTCTTAATTTTTTGTTGCATTATTAATTTTTTCATTGTCTTATTGATTGTTCACACCTCATTCTCACACAACTGATATGTACCTTGATGGACAGAAAGTTGAGCTGGCTCTCGTTGGCTAGCGCTTTAGCGATCATGGTTTTGGAGCATCCCGGCGGTCCGTACAGCAGGACACCTTTAGGTGGCGTTATACCCAACCTGCTGAAGGCCTCGGGGTGCCGCAGGGGCCATTCGACCGCCTGCTTCAGCGCCAGCTTCACCTCCTCCATCCCACCGATGTCACTCCACCGAACCTACAAACACACACAGAGCTGATTCATTTGCATCACAGGATCTGAAGCTTGAGCTGTGATCGGCCCATCAATCTGTCAGTCTGAATGTTAATAGGTCAGCCTGATAACCACAGCATGTGAAAGTCTTCAGATGAACGCTGTACCTTTGGCACGTCGATGGCCACCTCTCTCATCGCGCTGGGCTTGACCTCTGTCATGGCCAGTCTCAGGTCAGAGGTCGTGACCTTTACACTGTTCATCACCTGGACATCAGAGAGAACAGGCTTGGAGCCTAAAACCCTCCTCAGCGCGTGAAGACCTGCAGAAACACACAACATGAACAGACCATCACAGATCAACACTGACAACATTCAGAAACGTTTAGATATTAATAGTAAAAAAATTTGGAATAATTAAGATTTGTAATGTTTTCGAAGGAAGTCTCTTCGGTTCACCAAGACTATGTTTATTTGATTAAAAATACAGAAAAATACAGTTAAATTTATTAAATATATTATTATTATTACAATTTAAAACAGCTGTTTTATGTGAATATCTGTTAAACTGTAATGTATTTCTGTGATGCGCAGCTGTATTTTCAGCATCATTGCTGCAGTCTTCAGTGTCACATGATCTTCAGAAATCAGTATAATATGCTGATCTGCTGCTCGAGAAACATTTCTGATTATTATCAATGTTGAACACAGTTTTTTATGCTTAAAGACTTTTATTCATCAGGAACGCATTAAATTGATCAAAAGTGACAGTAAAGACATTTCTAATGCTACAGAAGATTTCCATTTCAAATAAATGCTGTTCTTTTGAACTTT